GAAGTTGCAGGCCTTTCATAGATGACGATTTTGGTAATGAGGATGGGATTCTGACAGATGTGCCTTTCTAAAAGAGAAGAACATTGGCCAGGTGAGGGGTAGGAGTAGATACCCTGGGGTCTGGTTGCAGTTGCTGCCAAGTGGGTACGGACTAATGGTTCCTCATTTTACCTGTTAATATGTGCAGACAAACAGCAGAAGGAAGACAGGATTGAAACAGCCAGTGTGGTACTTAGCGCTGTTGTTTACTCTCCTTTGTCAGTAAGAGATGGCTGGTTTGATGATGAAATAAGCTTGTAGGCCCAGCTAAAGGAAACATGACTGTGACTGTGGATAAAGGGCTCCCTAAAGGTGAAATAAATGATGTCAGCAATAATAGAACTTTAATGACTCCAAAACAGTAGGAATTTATTGAGCCCAAGCAGATAGTGACTTAAAATAGATAACCTTGCTTGTTAGACAAAAACAACACAACTCTCAATATGAATCCCATGATCCCTCTGCCTCTACTACTTTAAGGAAAATATCTGCTGGGGAATCTGAGGAGGGGAGAGATGCCCCTTTTACAGCTCTATTGTGTGTAAGGCTCTAAGTCACCATCATAAGTGGTTCAGTGGGGATGGGGAACCCTGGGTGCCGGGATAGTCAGATGTCCATTATTATGGGGCAGATCTATGGTGGTATAGGGAGTGAAGAAAACCCGATCAAAATGGCAGTCTTAGCAACAGGTGCTTGTTGAAGCCAGGAGGCACACCTGGGCAGGGTTGGAAGTAACCCCAGAGTCAGGAGAAAAGCCTTCCTGCCCTGGCTGACAACCCCCACCCCAAGGCTAGCCTCTCCTACCCTGTGATGTTTCATTCTTTGTTACTGGGAAAGAGCAGAAGTACTTTGGTGACTGCGGCCTCCAGTGTCTTTAAGCTGCTTGGTTTATGTTCCCAAAGACGTGGAAAGTGCTTGAATTCAACTGGTAGGTTTGGGCAAAATTTGCGAAGGGAAAATTACTTATAGGACCCTCTGAACTGATTGAATTAGTACTTCTTAAGGTTTTCACATCCTTGTGTTATTGATCCCATCATTCATTCATGGAACTGTGACTTCTCCCATTCAGGCACTACAGTGTATTCAGAAGTAATCCCTGTCTGATCTCAGGTAATTTAACAAAAATAATAGATTCGTAAGACGAGAGAAATAAAAGTCACAGCTTCAGTTGAAAACTTGGTGACTGCTGGCATACTTTACCATACCCTGTCCAGGCACCAAGCACTCTTTCAAAAACAGACAGCTACTTGATTACAGAAGAGCTGCTGAATCTGAACATCTGACTGATGGAAGCCTAGTAATTCTGGGCTAGCTTCCCCATTTTGGGCCACATTAATTCAACAATTAAAAGCCCAGCAACTTTCCCGAGTCAAATTAAAGTGGTGCATTCTGGGATGCAGAGCCCACCAGGTCCTTCCTCATAGTTCTACATGGAAAATAACAGCTCCTTCCATGGAGGAAGGATGCTCCAGCTGCCTGGAGCAAAGCCATTGGCTCAGTGAAGTCATTGATTCACAGAGCTTTCCCCAGTGAAAAGCTTGGTCCTGGTTCACTGATGGTCCAGTTAAATTAAAAGGTTCCAACTGGCTGAATTGAAAACTGCTGGTGCTACATAAAATATTTCTATGGTGAGATATTTTTTCACTGACTCGGGCCTATTCTTCTAATGTGCCACTTGGAAGACTACAGATGGTTTGATTAAAGGCATTCTTTGGGGCCACAAACCAGAAACTACAGCTCCGAATTGAATGGTTTGGGTCACTCATGCCATTCCCACAGTGGTTGACACATAGATGAGATCAACTGGAATCAAGTTGCCAACAGATCCTGTACCACTCAGGTTGCCACTGTTGTGGCCTGGATCCCCCGTCATGCCAGACATGGTATTTCACTTGCCAGCACTTTCCTGGGCACAAAGCCTAAGACCCAGAAGTTCTGTTTGTCTAGCTGCGAGGGAGACCGCCTGGGGCAAGACCTCCATCCATTCCTGGTGGTGGATTCAGAGCTTGAGCTCCCTTTTAGGGTTATCAGTGCCTCACCACTTTGGACAACTTACAGTCAGTTTTGCTGTTCTAGTCCAATCAACCAACTCCAATCTTCATTTTCAAGCAAATCACAGATTTATCTCAAGTTTTTGTTGTTTCACCATATGCAGTCTGACTGATACAACTTTGATTGCAAAAGTCACTCAACAGTGTACTAATAGTCAAGGTATTTAATCGGCTCTTACATCCTCAGGCATCTAGTATTGAATGTTGGAACAGCCCACTCGAATTAAAAAAGGTTTATGTCTATCGTTTCATCCTGGTCAGTCCAGCTTAGTATGGCAATTTGGTCACTGAATACAACTGTCCCTAGTAAGTAATCACTTCATCTTGAATACTGTATTAACAATGGACTCCCCAGAGCCTGTGTCTTAAAGGCCACATTAAGAACACTATCAGCCTGTGTCCCCTAAATGACATAGGTTCTACTTAGAAGGCCCTAACAGTTGTAAACAGGGATATATGGCCCTCGGACTATTTTTAAGGACTGTGTGGAAGGCGGGCATTAGTTTGCTTTTCTCTCTGCAAACATGGTGCCTTACACCATAGGAAGGGTCATAAGCAGCCATCCAGTATTTAAAGAAATACCACCACTAGGTCATGTGGACTCAGATGACCATGGAGATTGCTCCCAAATTAATTTACCCTTGGTTATGTGAACACTAATACTCAGTTGGGAGGTAGATCTTACCCAGGCACTGGTAAGCCAGCAAACCTCAGAACCCATAATGTCTCGTGTCTCCTACTGTTACCTTTCCTCATTGAGAATGTACTCTTTGTGCCTGTATCTCCTGGTTTTTGTTCCTAAATTAAACTTGTTTGTGGGTATAATAGATGATTGCCTTTTTGAGGTTAATAGTTACATGGGGGCTTTGGGAGGGGAGACTGGCTTTATGCACACCCTATGGGAGGATATTCCCTATTTTAGAAGTTGTCCTATTTGAAAATTGATATGAAATTCAGGTCAACCTGGGTTCATTAGCCAGCGTGGTTAGTGGGACCACTGCTACCTGATGGCACAGAAACAAGAAAATGTCACCAGATTTTGAGAAAAGGACCTGTTTAATGCAAGGTTGCCTGGCTGAAGACTGAAGCAAACCTCAAACCAGGATGAGGATAGGACCTTGAATAGTATTTATAGGAGTGAAGAACATGTGTAGAAAACCCAAGTTGGTAGACTTTTATTACTTTCTGCTAAATCGTGGTGTAACTTGAGTTTGGATCCAAACCAAGCTGCACATCCTTGCTTGTGAATGTTGTCCATTTGATCATGAGTCAGGCATCTTCCACAGCCATATTTGGTCCAGGTGATGAGCTATCACCACAAGGACACTGAACACCCTCCTGGGTGCGTGCCCTGAAACAACTTATCAAATTATGAAAAAATAATCTTTTCCCCTTTGTTTAAAATGGATAAGGATGTTTTTGCCCCACTGTTGCAAGCCTGCCCCTACTGTGCTTACCAAATAAGCAGAAATAACACATGATCATCCACCAAAGTTTCAGTTATGGTTGGTCTCAGCTTGTTGCTTGGAGTTCTGTTGATAGTATCCATAACTTAATGCTGCATGACACTGATAGATTTTGTTCTGTTTCTGTCAGATGAAGCCAATGGAATAGCATTCTCAGTAAATTCACCACAAGCTAAGGGTTCAAAGTGCTATGGAGGATGGAAAAGGTAACTTCTAGCATAGATACTGAGAGATCTTAACGTAGGAAGTGAAACTCACTTGGACTGAGCCATGAATGATGATAGGGCCAAGTGTATCCAAAATCACATTCTATTTAACTGTTCTCCAGAAAGTAATCATTCTGAAATTATTGATAGTATTTATTATTCCTATATATTTTCTTCATACACGTGTCTGTTGATAATATATATTAATAACAGTATATATGTATATAATGCATATATAATATATATGTGATGTATAATAATATGTAGTGTATACATAATAATGGTATATATTAATAGGTACTGTTGTTTTAAAACTTTACATATTTAGTTGAGGTTCCCAAAATCAAACCTAGGTTCAGAGATTCATGAGGACTGACAGGACTCAAAAAACAGAGCAATGTAACAAGGACACGCCTCTGATTTGCAGGGGGGAAAGGTGGAGCATGAAGGTATCTACACGTAGGCTTCTTATGCTGTCTCTCTTTCATGAGAGATGACATTAAGCATACTTATCTCCAGCAATGAAAATGCAGCAATGTTATGTGCCGTTATTTCTGCCTAGGGAGAACCCGTTAGAACATCCAAAGTTTTTGTTGCAGGCTGAATGAACATGTGGGCCCAACTCCGCTTGGCAGCTACCTCCAGAATCCATTATTTAGTTTAAAATCGGTACAAAACCTGTATTTATTAAATGGAATTCTAGTGTAAAGAAAAGCTGTCGTTCCCTATTGATTGACCTCAATATGTATTCAAGGGTTTCCGTTTTATTCATTGGGCTATAGTCAACTACTGTTATTAACACACACAAGATATATGCCGATATAATTTTTTAAGCATAGACCAGTGTCCTCCTGTTGGCCTTCAGTGGAGTTCCCTCAGAGGCCCGGAACCTTTGTTTGACTAGCAAGCTCCCCAGGGAAGATTTAGGCGGTGATACCTGTCAACACACCGCCAACCAATAGATCTGAGTGGGTATAGCTGACCAAAGGGAAGGAGAGGGAGGAAATGGTAGGGTGTGCGGAGCTGCGGTGCTGCCGGGCCGTTGGGAGCCGCGGCGGGCCCCGGAGATCTGAGCTGGACTGGTCATGAGCCGAGAGGAAGGGGCCGCGGCCGGGCCAGGGCCCGGGATTGGGGAAACTAGGGACTGCGACGGAGGCCCGGCGGCGAGGGGCGGGGCCGGCGGCGAGGGGCGGGGCCCTAGGGGCGGGGCTGACTAGGGTGACAGCCGACCGCGGTCCCAAGCCTCACAGCCGCCTTCTCACCCACCTTCAGGTCCTCGCCGGCTTTTCTAAGCGTCCCCGTGGGGTTCACTCTCAGACTGACGTCGGTCGCGGTCGCCTCAATTTTTGTGCTTTGTGCAGGTCTCCTGCCTCTGTCTTCCTAGCCTTGGTCGTTCTCCCCGGCTACGGTGTCTGTGACTTGAGGATCAAGGCCCCCCGCACCCACCTCTGCCCTGAGAGAGAGAGATGGAGGAGTCGGGGTGCCACACAGGTGAGCCGGGCTTCGAGACCAGAGAACCTCCCGCAACGTTGGGCACTATGACAATGGGGACAAGGTTCAGCAGCGCCATCTGGATTTAAGAAATGGACTTGTGGGCATGGTGGTGGCGGTGATGGGGAATTGAATGAGAGCCACCAAGTCCGCTCGGATCTGAGACACAGCCAGAGATTATTCTTAGCTAGTTCTATTTTCTTCTCCTTCCACTGAAGCCAAACCTAAACCTTAGAAGAAGCATTTTAGAACTGATGGGGAGCTGAGACTAGGAAAATCCTTCTACAGAGGGTTCTGTGGGCACCAGCAAGCCCCGAGCTGGAATTTCGGAACCTGGGTGTAGGTCCAGGTTTTGCCCCTGAGTCATTAAATGGCCTTACACAAATTCATATCCATCCCCTGTGGGTCTGAGGTTGTCCATCTGTACTTTGAGTGGGTTTTGGACTCTAGGGCCCCCAAAGGTCTGTCACATGATAGGACCTCCAAATACTAGTTGTCAGTAGTGAGTGAGTTATTAGGAGTGGAGTGAATATTAGTTGTTAGTGGGCTTCATTGGGGGCCACCTGCTGCACTGGACTAACGACTCTGAAGTTACATTATTCTTGCAGCTGGAGAAACATGATGATAGCACCATTGAAAGTGAGGAAACTAGGGCTCACACAATCTCCTCGTTAAGAGTAGGGAGGACTGGATTGAAAGGTGGTTATATGAAACGGCAATTCATGATTTGAGTTCTCTGCTGAAATGAACGATTCCAAGGCACAATTATATCTGGTTCTTCTCTACCCCTAATTCCCAGCATATGGTTCTTTTGAGATCGTTTGGGTGGTAGTGCAGGGGCCAACCTCCTGTGTTACCACTGTCATCAACATAATAAAAAATAATGATAGTGATTTGAGTTATTAAAGTTATAACGAAGCTACGGTGAATTTGTGAAGACATTGAAATTGATAGTGAAACGTTTTAGTTAGATCATGTTTTAAAGTTTATAAAGCACTTAAGAGTTGTTTTCCATATTGATCATCTTAAGTAGGTTTTTACATTATTCATGTTTTACCAATAAGAAATCCAAGACCTAAAGAGAGACATGACTATTGCAAGGTCTCCTTAAGAAGTAGAGCTGGGACATGAATCCAGTCCCCCTTGACAAGTTGTTTCTCTTCTTTGGTGCTCACTCCACTTCATATCTCTTTCCTTTTTCCTAGCCCTTCCTGTCCTGTGCTTCATTCAGAGAATTCCTGTTAATTAGTAATCGTATGATGACTCATTATTAATAGTGTTGGTATTAACCAACCTATAGTCATATAATTAAAGTGTTAACTTTAAGAGTGCAAAATATGATCTCTTCCTGAGGCAGAGAGGGATTTGAATGCATGTAAGAAGAGGGTTTGTAATTGTGGCTGTTATTGTCATCACATCAACACAGATTTCAGGTAAAACAAACTAGAACACACTCACTGTATTTTCTGTTACTTGTGGGCTTTTCACACCCATTTCATCTGCCCTTTTCCTTTTCACCCTTCAGTTGCTTAATCAGTGTCCAGCCTTCAAAATCCAGCTCAACCATTCAAGAAATTTGTTGAGGGCCTATTCCGTTACCCTAATGAGTGGCTTTAGGTATAAAGGGATAGTGGTGAATAAAACTGCAATCTCTCTGCTCTTTTTGAAACTTCTGTAGGAGAAGACAAGGAGAATGCATGGATGGTAAGAGGCTGTGGAGAGTAGAAGAAAGGAACGGGATTGCAAGGGAGTTGTCAGGGAAGGAAGGGAGGGAGTGACTTCTGTGACTATCTGAGAGAAGACTGCTGTGGCAGTGAGTAGCGGATATACCCCACGAGGGCTTGCTGGGCTCAGTTATTACCCTCCCCAAGTCCTCTGCTCCTTGGTTTTGCCAGATGCCCTTTCCTTTTTCTGCATGCCTGGTTTATGTCTCTAGCATCGCTTAATTGCATCATATTGTAATTCTGTATGTCTGTTTAACCTCGCTTGTATGCAGGTTCTTGAAGACAGGGACCTCTGATACTTTTGTCTCCTCAATGTCTACTTTATAGTTTGACTTGGAGCAGGCATCCAGAAATATTTATTAAGTAATGAGTAAAGTCTTAGGAGACTCACAACCTGGTAGTTCTAACAAATGATTTATAAGATAGAGTTTGGAAGGCAGATGGTGAGAGGGGGAAAGAAGAATTCTAAGTCTTGTTCTGCCTGGAGTAATTCCCTTTTTGGGCCTCTGAGAAATAGAACACCTGATTTCCTCTGAGAAGTATTCGTGCAAACTTCCATTTTCAGTATTATGGAAGGCTAGCTTACCCCTAAAATGACAGAAAAATATAGCAACATCCTTCATAGTTGAATTTTCAGGAAAGTAAGATAAGTTTTCAGAAGCCTGAAAACTCAGCCCCTTAACATGACCTTAGCTCCCCTGGATGTTTGCTGGTTTCATTTACCTAGAGGTTTAATAGACCTGTGAATGAAACCACAGGTCCTCACGGGTTAGGCTTTGAAGGCCGCAGCTGGGCGCCTTGAAAATCGACTCACTCTCTGATCTGCACCCTCTGATAGGGTGGGCCAGGGAAAGAAAATTCCCCGCTGATACAGTGTGTGTGGGGGGGGTGGGGGGGGTTGGAACTAAGAAGATGACTTCTTATCCTAGGCCCCAGGAAAGGGAAAACATTTCCCTGGAGAATACTTAACCACAGACATTCCCTCATAGGGTTTTGAGTTTAATGGCCCAAAAATGCCAAGCCAAGAATTTGAAACCAGCGGGGCTGGTCATACCCCTGCAGTCTTGTCAGAAGCCCCAGAGGGACACACAAGACTCGGCCTGCACGGGATCCCCACAGGCTGGAGGACAGATTTGGAAAATCAGGTGCATAGTGCTGTGGCCGTTAAGACCGTGATGTTACCTTTCCATTAAAAATATAATAAACAATCGAGTAAATCTGCCTCCCCGTGATCTCCAGAAATGGAATGATACAGCAAAATTTGTATACAACCAGCACTGCAGTGTGGGCACACACTTAGCTGCCTCCTGTCCTTGCAGAGGTCATGGAAGAAGGGACAGCGTGCTCCTTCAACAGCCCTCTGTTCCAGCAGGAAGACAAGAGTGGGGTCACCTACCGGATCCCAGCCCTGCTCTACATTCCTCCCAAACGTACCTTCCTGGCCTTCGCAGAGAAGCGTTCTACATGCAAGGATGAGGATGCTCTCCACCTGGTGCTGAGGAGAGGGTTGAGGACTGAGCACTCGGTACAGGTGACTCCTCACCCCAGATCTGGGCCTGGGCCTCAGTTTCTTCCCACGTTGCACAGAGCTCTTCAGGGTCTGTCTGTGCCTTTTTTCATCTGGGCAGGAAACGCCCTGTGAGAGAGGGAAAATGGAAAGCAGTGGTTCTCTTTGAGTGCTTACTGCGTGCCAGGGGCACTTGGGAGCCTCACAGCCACTCTGACAGAAACTGTCATCAGCCTCACTTTACAGATGAGGAAACTGAGGCTCAGAGAGAGGGCCATCATAAAGCAATAGAAACAGACTTCAAACTCAGTCTCTGTCGTTTGCTCAGATTAAAATAACATGTGATGGGCCTTTATTCATGTTGTCTTTCATCCTCTTCAATCATCCAGGGAAGTAAGCCCTGTTATCCAGTTTTGCTGAGGAGTGCTGGTGCTTCAAAACCAGTTAGCAGGGAGTTGGGGAGACGATAAAAACTGACATATTCGTAATCCTGTTCTCCTGTTTCTAAATGCCTCATGTGAGGTTATTATCTCCATGTTACAGGAGGAAATGGGGGTTGAGAATATATGACTCCACTTGGGCACACATGTACTAAGTGGAAGAACTCGAGTTGAACCCTTGCCCTTAAGTAACGTGTTTTACTGGTTCTTAATGAGGGCAAGAATGGTTTCTGCCCTTGGTCTGCGAGCTTCAGGCTTATTTCAGATCCCATTGCTCTCCTTTATCTCTCAGAGCAGACTGAGAGAGGATCAGTGAGACAATGAATTTGCACTTGTCAGTGAATTTTTGGAAAGAAAACAGTTTTTTAATAAAAGCAGATGTATCTATGTACAAATTATGTATCTTACTATATAGCAAATACCTGTTTTTACCTATATATGTATGTGTGTGTGTGTATCTAAGAGATACGTGAGTCCTCCTAACCTGTTCTGCTTTTCTAGCCAGAGAAACCTCAGCATTAAAGCTTCTCATCCACAGATGCCTTGTTTTGCTGTTACAGTGCAAATGCTCTTCCACTGAAGATGGGCCCTGCCAGCAGCCTGTCTTAGCATTTAATGCTTGCTCCCATTTTCCTGCGGGGAAAAGTTCTACTGCAGGGATTTTCCAGTCCCTGCTCTTTCACCTTATCTTATAATGAGTCTTTATGGTTTCTTTGGACCAAACCTCTGCTTGTTTCACTGACTTGCAAAGAGCACAGCCCTCTAGCCCAGCTTACAACACAGCTTGGAGTTCCAGCTCCTGCATTGCCTCGAGCACAGGCCTCTTCTGTTGCCATATTACCTGCTTTGTGTTATAGGCAGTTGAGTGGTTATGTGTTTATATCATATCTGTTAGGTAACCTTACACACTGCCTAGGAATTACAACATTCACAAATGTGTCCACTTCAACTCCTTCTCTATTTTATTCACTTTCGTTTTCTGATTTACTTAATTGTAAAACCTTAAATTAGAAGACTCACCAGCCTGATTTTTCCCCTAACATAGAAGCCTTCTGTATTGCACTGTAGCTACAATAGTGGCTAAGAGCATAGCTTGGAGTCAGGCAAGACCTACCTCTTACTGACTGTGTGACCCTTCTCTGTTTCATCATCTCCAAAATGAAATTAATAATAGAAATTACATAGTAGGAATTCAACACTAGTCATCTTCTATAAAAGGTCTCCTTACACAACTCCTCAAATGTGGAACTTAATCCTATGGCAACTTTCCCTTTGGGATGGTTATACTTCTTTGTAAAATCACTCTTTGGTCTTGTTCTGCTTTCCTGGGCAGCCAATCTGCAGTAATAGAAACTCCCTTTTCTAGGGAGCTGCTCTTTGATGTAGCTGAAAGTAGTGTTCACATCCTTTAGTTTTTAATTTCCTGGGTTCAGCAGTTTTAATTCTATTAATTGCTCATTACGCCCTAGTCCTGAGCTGGCTTCTGGCTCCACGAACACTGTGCTTATTGTCCTTAGGGTCTGGTGTAGGTTGTCTGGATGTTTGTGCTTTTTCAAAGAAGACATTCAGGATTCAGTGTGGAGTCCAAAGGTAGATTGATCATCTCAGTAATGAGGTCGCTATCTCACCTTGCATTCTTTTTTTTTGCAGCCTGAGATAAAGTAACATTTATTTCTTTGACAGCTATATAACACAGTTGACTAATGTTAAGTACAGAGTCAACTAAACCCAGCACACTTCCAGTTTTTCATTGTGGTAAAATACACCTAACATAAAATTTACCTAACATCAAAATTTCCACTTTAACTATTTTAAGTGTACGTTATATGGTTGTTAACTATATATACATTCTTGTACAACAGATTTCTCCACCACAATTCTATACCCATTAAACAAGTCCTCTTTTCCCTCTCACCCCCCAGTCTCTGGCAACATTATTCTGCTTTGTTTCTATGTGTTTGATCATCTAAGTGGGATTTTGCATTATTTGTCATTTTCTCTGATTGGCTTATTTCATATAATGCCCTCAAGGTTTATCCAGGTTGTAGCATATGACAGGATTTCCTTTTTTAATACTGAGTAATATTTTATTGTCGAATATACTACATTTTATTTATTCATTCATCCATGGATGAATACATGAGTTTACCAACACAAAAAACTGGGTTGCTACCATTTTTTGAGTAATGCTGCCATGAACCTGCTATGCAAATATCTCTTCAAGACCTTGCTTTTAATTCTTTGGACATATACCTAGAAGAATTGCTGGATCATATGGTAACTCTATTTTTAAATTTTTGAGGAACTTTCTTACTGTTTTCCACAATGACTGCACCATTTTATATACCCAGGAGAGCACAAGGGCCCCAGTTTCTTCACAATTCCTTTTCACATCTAGACATGGAATTTCTGGATCACAGGCTGTGTTTATGTTTCATGTTTCATAAACAGGCTGTGTTTATGTTTCATGTTACTTTATCTCAAGCCAGCCATGTTTTGGAGGGGTGGTTATGAGTTCTGTTAGGTTTCATTTTGACTCTGGAATTTAGCTATTTAAAGTTCTAGCTCAAAGCAGAGGACATTGACCTGTGGCTCCAGCTTCTGTCCTTCTAGTTCCATAAGGCTGACAAGTGAATTGCTGAACCTCTCAGCCTTGCAGTTGTCTCATTGAGAATTGGTAGAGATACACGGAGGGGAAGGACGTACTCAAAATATCAGGCCAGCCTCTCTGACTTGAACAAACTCAGTTCTTAGCTAATAATTTATTTCTTTGTTTGCTATCTGGTATTTTCAAACAGGTTTTTTGTTTTAATATTTAACTGCCATTTCTAGTTCTCAGTCAAAGGGTTGGTTCAAATTACCTAGTTTGCTGTATGTAGTTGGAAGTCATTTTCCTCTACTTATGTATATGTACAGGACTACTCTGTAATTACTTTGTTCATTTATCAACATGTTATTGCTATCTTTCCTTATCAACATGTAGAAGACTTCCTTCTTTTTTCATTCCTGCTTTGTGTGTTCATTTAATGAATCTTCTATTGATGTATGTTGAGGTGTTGCTGTTTCAAGCCATAGTAAGTAATCTTAGTGAACAGATATATCTCTGGGATACATTCCCAGAATTCAGCAGGCTGGGAAAGTATTATTGCATTTGTAATTTTGACTATGTCCTAAGTAAGTGCTGAACCATTTTGTGCCCCATCCAGATGTGACAGTGTGTTACTTTACATTTTTGCAACAGTATTTTCAAAATTGATGATGTTGCCATTAAATACCTTGTTAATTTTATTTTTTTCTCTTTTTATATATGAGGTTGAACATACTTTTTTTTTTCCTCTTTCTATGAGTTTTCTCTTTTCTGCTTTTTGCCCATTGCTGTTGAATTTCTTGAAATGTTCTTACCCCTTTCTAAAATACTAAGGAGATTAGGCCTCTCTGTGACATACCTGATTAGGCATTATCTCCTTTCATCCTAATAATGACTCCCCTGTGTGAGCTTATGATTACTTCCTTCATTTAAACAATGATGAAATGGGTAAAGATTAAGTAACTTGCCCAACATCTCAAGATGCAGATGATGCTGGTGCTTTTTAAAAATTATATATACATAGAACACATATAAAACACATCATTCTTTATTTTATGCATTTTTTATCTCAGTTGTAATCCCCACGGACTTCCCACCACCAGTCATGTGTGCTCTTCCCACCCCAGTTTTGATCCTATTCCCCTTTCTATCCCATAGTATGTCTCTGGTTTATAGTTGTTTGTTGATTTTTTAAAAAACTTTTTTATTGGCCCTCCCTGGTGGTGCAGCAGGTTAAAGCACAGCACTGAGAAGCTAAAGCCACTTCCGCATGAGTTCGATTCCCTCCTGCCCTGGAGGTGACCACATGGCGTGGCAGACCTCTCCTGACCCGCCCACTGCTCCCCTCAGCAGTGTACTTCGTCAATCTGCCTATTGCGTTCCCCACTCTGTCTGGTGAAGCCTCTTGCTGTCCCTGAGCCTCTGGCCTGTACCCCAGTTCTGTATGCACAAATAAATAAATCTTTAAAAAAAACAAAACAAAACTTTTTTACAATTCCTTCTTTTTTTTCTGATCCCTTATACTCCTGTTATGAGCGAAACCATCTGGTGTTTTTCTCCGTGCTGGTGTTTAATAATGCTGTGATGAATTGCATCCCCATGGCAGTAAAGGAAGGACAAGAAAAAGCCTCGTCTTGTATCTCCCTTTATTTGCCTAAAACTCCCATATTTGTCTGCCTTCTTTAGCTTTTCTTCCTTTTCTTTTGCTTGTCTTCCTTTGTTTGGGTTTTTCTTTAAGAATAACCTAGCTGCTATTAATGTGCTGGTCATTGGAGATGCGAAGTTAAAATAATTTGGTTTCTTTCCTCAAAAGATTCATAGTCTAGGAAAATAGCCAGTCACATGAAACAAAATGACAATATTATATAATAGATGCTATAAATCTTTTACTTGCACAAAGAGGAAGCCACCTGTTGTCTTTGGTCAGGCAGGGAAGAGCATTTCCTGGAAAGTTCCTGAAGGAGATGACAAGTGTGGGGTTTTGAAGGATGAATGGGGCATTTAGGCAAAGTGAAGACAAACTCCCAACAGAGGGCCTGCCCGTGCAGAAGATAGCGTCACCTCCTTCCCGCATTGTAAATCATCATGTAGGGGCCTCTCTGGTGGCTGAGGGGTTACATCTCAGTGCTGTTGCCACTATGGTCTGAGTTTGATTCCCAGCCAGGGAGCTGACCCACATGGCACAGCAGACCTCTCCTGTCTCACCCACTGCTCCCCTCAGCAGTGTATTTCAGTCAGTCAGCCTGTTCTGCTCCTCATTTTGTCTCTGGTGAACCTTCTTACCCCCTCTCCTGCCCCCCCCGCCCCCACCTCTAGCCTAAACTCTATTTCTTCTATGCAAAAAAAAGACCAAAAAAAAAAAAAAAGTCAAAAACATCATGTAGTAGTTGAAAATTTAGTGAATTCTTGGGCCTTTATGATTTTATAGATTCTAACACATTTATTTCTTATCACTGAAACATTCTAATTCTTTCAACGAGGCTCATGTCTTCCTCTCCCTCACTGTCTTCCTCTCCTCTAGTGGGAACCCATAAGGCCACTGATGGAAGCCACCTTACCTGGGCATCGTACCATGAACCCCTGTCCTGTGTGGGAGCAGAAGAATGGCCGTGTCTACCTCTTCTTCATCTGTGTGCAGAAACACGTCACTGAGCGTCAACAGATTATGTCAGGCAGGAATGCAGCCCGCCTTGCCTTCATCTGTAGTCAGGACTTTGGCTGCTCATGGAGCAAGGTGAAGGACCTGACTGAGGAGGTCATTGGCCCAGAGATGACGCACTGGGCCACATTTGCTGTGGGCCCAGGTCATGGCATCCAGCTGCAGTCAGGGCGGTTGGTGATCCCTGCATATGCCTACTACATCCCTGAGCGGTCTGCTTGGTGTTGGCTAACACGTAAAGTCAAGCCTCATTCCCTGATGATCTACAGTGACGACCTAGGAACTACCTGGCACCATGGCAGACTCATTAAGTCCACAGTGACAGTAGAGTGTGAAGTGGCAGAGGTGACTGGGTCAGCTGGCCCCCCTGTGCTGTATTGCAGTGCACGGACTCCAAATAGATACCGAGCGGAGGCCCTCAGCTCAGACCACGGTGACTGCTTTCAGACAGTGACCCTCAACCAGCAGCTCCATGAGCCCCCACATGGCTGCCAGGGCAGCGTGGTAAGTTTTCAGCCCCTGGAGATCCAACAAGGGTGCCAGGTTCCTAGTGGCAAAGCTGCCTCTACCACTCAGCCGAGCCCTTTGCTGGGCAGCTCACTGGGGCCACAGCAGGAAGCTACAACATCATCAAAATCATGGCTCTTGTATTCACACCCAGTCAACAAGAGGCGGAGGGTTGACCTAGGCATCTACCTCAACCAGGGTCCCTTGGAGGCTGCCTCCTGGTCCCAGCCCTGGGTCTTACACTATGGGCCCTGTGGCTACTCTGATCTGGCTGTTCTGGAGAGTGAGGGTTTATTTGGGTGCTTGTTTGAGTGCGGAACCAAGAGTGAGTGTGAGCAGATTGCCTTCTGTCTCTTTACAAGCCACAATATCCTGAACCACATGCAGGGGGGCGGCACCAGCCCGCGTAGTGACCGTCGGCAGTGACTCGCCTGTTCCCAGTGAGCCCACTGGCTCAGGAGGCCCCTTCTACAGAAGGGAAACCCAAAGGCAACCACCGTCAGGGTAATGGAGACCAGAGGTCACTGCAGTCTCCACAGAACCCCACCACAGTATTCTGGACCCTACCTGTTCTTACTTCTCTTTTTCCAAAGAGCAAAATGAAAATTTTGCCATGAGCACTGCCATGGAAAGAGCAAGCATTGCTCTGGGAGTGGGAGACCATGATGTGTCCTCTGCGGCTGGCTGACTTGGGCACCTGGGACTTGCCTCCTGAACCCTCTACCTCCAATCTGTCTCCACCTGTGAAATGAGAGGACCAGTTCTGTGATTTCTCCTCTTCCCGCCCCTCCCAGGGGCAGAGTGCCTGTACGCTCCCTGATGGCAGGTCCTGGTGTCTGCATTCTCATCTCAGAATGAAAGTTATTTTCAAGTGACTCACTACTCATTCAATCTGGTAACAATATGAAGGAAGATCTGGATGGTTTGTTTGTTTATAATAACAAAAACACCCACCCCCTTGTAGTCATGCTCTTAACTTTACAGGCTCGTGTTCCAGAGGAACCGGGCCAAACCGAATCATGACATCAACTACCAACTCTGCAGCCCTGCTGAACCTTCCCTTCCTCCCCTGGGAGCATTCTTCCCAGGGAGAAAAGGCGAAGCTCAGTGAGTTTTGGTGTCCATAACGCTAGTTCCTATTTCTGATGACAGTTACCTGAAGTTCACTTATTAGGATGGTTCCTGATGGGAAAAGGACATGGATTTGAACTTCAAAACACTGAACAAAATTTCCCCCAATCTGTCTTATTAGCTTCCACTTTGTGAGAGAGAGAGAGAAAAAAAATCAAGACAATAAAAGCTGCTAGCGGGCTAGCGTGTAGATATTGGGTCTAAACGGGCTGAGGGCAGCTCCTGGCATCACTGTGTTAGCTTTATCCTCATTGTGCCTGAAGTCACCTGCCTCCTGGCTTATCCAGGCTGCTGGGTTTCTTCCAGTTTCTTTCTCGCAGAATATTCCTTTCTCATGGAGAAGGTCTTCACCATTAGGAAAGTCTCTGGGACCTCAGACCTTTGAATCAGGCTTGTTTGTTTGGACCAGCTGAGATCATTATAAAGTAGGGGTGCTGCTTTACCAGGTGTGGACTGAATTTGCTGGTGCTAGTTCTCCCGGGTGGGGCCACATGGGCTGCTCCCAGATGGTTTCTTCTCAAGCCGGGCGTTGTGACAGAAAATCCTATTCTGAAAAATTTATTTTTTGCCCCTATTTTAGGAAGATAATGCCTTCAGTTGGTATCAGCTGGTGCTGAGTGATGAGCCCGGAAAGCAAGTCTTAGTTGTGGCACAAAGCCTGGGAGGGAGGCTAGGGGTTCCAGCTCCCCCAGTCTGGTGGGGGAGAGTCCTGCAGGATGAAATGGAGACTAACTTTACCCACTTTCTCATCTGGCTTCAGCCCGTGGCTTGGAGTGGCTTTTGTTATTTCTTACCCCTTCCTATATTTGCCAAAGTTACTTCCCAATATACAGTTATAACCATTCATTCACTCATTGAGACTTTTATCTAGATATTTCTTGAGTGTCTGTGCATACGTAAGGTGCTTTCTATTGCCATTCCTTGTTTGAGAATCATCTGTGGCTCCTCATTGCCTACTAAAGGTGTTTACACTTAGCTGGGTACAAAGGACCTTCAGTTACTGGGTGAAATAACACATAGATACTGACGCTTTCTTTATCTGAAGCCCAGTGTCAGAGATGAGTCGTCAAGTGGATGGGGATCGGGGCCTGGGGTGGGTGGAGTGGTTGGTACAGGGAGGACTAGGGGTAGGGGTAGGGGTGAGCATTCAGACTGGCCCCTCCAGAGTAGTAGAAATTGCTTGCTCAGCAGTGCCTTCCTGAGCTCCTGACTGACTCAGGGTAAAGATGACAGCTCAGTTTTGTGGCCAGGACTAAAGCATGAAGAGAAACAAGGCATCGTTGGGACTACCCATGAAGAGTCAAAGAAGGACCCATGCCCGTGGGGAGCACAGATGCCCAGTACCACGGGCTGCCCTGTGTGGTTTTCTGTGTGTGGCTCTAGATCTTTGCTGGGCTGGAAACTCCTGAGGTCAAGTCTGACTTCTCTGTGTCCTTTTGAGCCTTAAATCACAGCTACTTATTTACAAATACATGGTTTTCCTATCATAGTCTAAATTCCCTGAAGATCAGGACTATGATTCCTTTCTTTGACCTCTGCAACCTGCATCAGGCCTGGCACAGAATAGACAACAGTAAAGCAGAGCTGAAAGACTCAAGGAGTCAGAGACCTTGGCCTTAGGGAGCTGATTGAGGAGACCAAGGCCACTCCCCCACCCTGCCCTGGAGGAAGCCCGCTCCCCTGTGGCTTGCACAGCTTCCTCAACCTGCTCACACTTGCCCTGAAGGAGACCTCTGCCCAAGCCAGCCACAGTACATCGGGGGTGGGGGGTGGGGGTGGGGGGAAGTGGAGGGGGTTCTCTTTGGTTTGAGTTTGGTCCTGCCTCGATGTCCCAGGATCACCACTCTAGGCCAAAGCCAAGGCTTGGGGTCTCACTTCCCTGGAATTTCCCCTTGGTCCCCCTTCAAACTTCTGTAACCGCCACTCCTCCAAGCCTCGAGGGAGGTGCTGGAACCACTGTGTTCTGCGTGTGTCGTGATTCTGTGACACCAAGTGCCAAGCCTGTTCTCTGGTAAAAGCCACTGTGACTCTGAAGCAAGGAAGGGGAATAAAAGCTTAAATCCTTCTCATGGATTTCCTGGTTTTCTGTTAAGCATACTGAAACGGCTGCCATCCTATGCTGTCTAGCTTGTGCTCAGATTCTTTCAACGAAGTGGAATAGAGGCACCTTCTTGCTTTTCATTAGAACAGTTACTTTCAGAAAACTTTAAAAGCAATGACTTTGCACATTTACACATTGTTGGTTGAACAGTTTTCTGTTGAGGGAAGCCGGGTGCAGACTGCCACGAAGCTTGACTGTGCGGTACAGACTAGCAGCGGAGTGATGGAGCCGGAATGCACAGACCACCTCTGATGCCCCAGGCCCTGGGCACTGACAATCGTTTCCTGTTTCAAAACACCTCAAGATATTCTTTGCAGCTAGGAAGGCCACAAGCATTTACCTCAACAGAGTGGGGTGATAGCTTTATCTTAATTTATGATTTACACTTGATTTCTATTCGTTCCACTAGAATGCTTCATACTACTGAATCCTGCCAAGTGTTTCAGCATAACCCGCAGTTTCTGTCACTAGGTCAGTCTGTTAACTGTTCTTAAATTGACTCGAAAAAATTTCAGTTGGACATCTCTTTCATCACATCCTATAATGAGCATCCTATAATGATGAAACTGTAAATGAAGTTTAAAGAACTAATTTATCTCTAAAAGCTGTTCAATTATTATGTAATCACTTTGAAGTTCCAATAATTAATTTTATTTTGGCTTAATGTCTGAGGGGCCTTTGGGGTCGAGAGGACTATGCTTTACCTCACGAACTTTACTAAATTTACTAAACTCATATCCAGTCACATGTTGAAAACCTTTTGAATTTTTATACAATGACAAATGTGATTGATTAAACTGCCATAAACAATTACCAGTTATAAATTTAGTCTGTGTCACCCTTTTGAGCTTTTCAAACACCACATGTAGTAGATGAAATAAAAACAAATCAAGGGGGGCAGCAGCCCTCCTGCCGGCCGGGGATCTGCAGGCCCCTAACAAACCTGCCCCTTTCAGGGCAGCCCTTGGTGCTTACTTGTATCTGTGCAAGCGGCCTCTACTCCTCCATTTTTCCATTTTTATAATCAACCTGCACTTTTGGATCCAAAAAGATAATAAAAATAAATAAGTAAATAAACCTACCAATTATAAAACATCCTTATATTAAAATGGAATGCAAAAGAACAAGGCCATGGACCTAACTTTTTTTTTTTTT